ATTATGCAGGAAGAGAAGACTCTAACTTTTTGTTACATAACAATGTCGAATATACAATAACCTCAAAACATCGAGCTTAGAAGACACCAAACATCCAATCACGATCCAGTATAAACTAACATGGAAATGAGATAATGAGACTACAGATTGTTACTAATCAGAGTCTTAAACCTTAAAACAAATGTGGCTTTCAAGAGTTATTGATTACGAACAGAGTGATAAAAGAGGTACCTTGGAAGTGAACTCCATGGTTCCTGTCTGAACCACATTCGCAGCAGATGCAGCAACCAGAGACAATCTTCCGAAACCCTATATGCATATGAACACAATCAAATATACAAAAGAGAGATCAAATCACTCAACATCTAATTCTAATTCACTCTCAAAAAGCATCAAAATTTACCTCAGACATAACAGAGAAAACATCACCACCCTGTTGATTACTTCTCGGAGCTGGACCTGAGCTAGATCCAAATCCCACATACTTTCCACCTTGCGAAGGAGGAAGACCTTCAGGCTTAGTCTCATTCTCAGCCATCCTCTTCGCAAAGAAACTCTCCTTATTCGCAGCAGAAGCCTCAAGCTGAGACCTCGAGTATATATCCTCCGACGACTTCGACTTCGCCGGTGCACCACGTGCTCCTCCCGAAGCCCTAAAATCAGTCGCAGATTGATTCCTTCTCATATCAGAAGAAGAAGATCTAAACGAATCATCATTATCCCAATTATCCCAACCACCATTGTTTCCGTTTCCGTTACCCGAATCCCTACCTCCCTGAGACAACGGAGGCTTCTTATTCATCACACCACCACCAATCGATTCCTTAACAATCGGCGGATCTCTCCATTGTCGTCCTTCAGCTAAAGCTTGGATCCGATCACGATACACAGAAGCAGCGTTTGAATTGTACTTTGCGATGATATCGGTCTCTTTAGAGATCCCGTATTGTGCGAAGAATTTGTTGAGCCGTTCGTTACCTCCGGCGTCCATTTTCTTGATCTGGATCTCAGACCATGAATCCATGGTGACGGATCTGACGAAGGAGATGTGAACGCCTAAGCCACGGTGCTTACCGGAGCATTCCAAACACATGAATATACCGTACGAAACAGAAGCCCATTGAGGATTCTTCTGAGAGCAATCGACGCATACCTTGTTCTCTGGTTGAGATTGGAGTGTGCGTAATCGTCTCGCCGCCGCCATTAATGCCGGTTCTCCGATCACCGACTAATTTCCGATCTGGTTTTTTTTTGACCCGACCCGGAATAGATCTGATTCAGGTCCAGATTCTGAATAGACTGATGCGTTTTTTCGTTCGCTCGTTTGGGTTAATAATCGTGGTAACTTGGCGTTTCTTTGTGCGTGTTTTTGGCACGTGCGAGGTTCGCGGCAGCTTCACTGAAAAATTCCAATATTAACAAAAAAAATTTTGTTCAGCTAAAAACCATAGTACAGTATAATTGATTTTTTCTTTCTTTTTCTTGAAAAGTAAGTGTGAAAGATCGATTTCCCTTACTAAATTATAAATAGAGTTTTTTTTTTATTCATTCTACTTTATTAAAAAAAAAATATGGGCATACCATTTTCACAAAGTGGTACTAGAAAAATGTTTTTTTATTACCATCAAAACTTATGATTCAAGTGGACATGAAAGTGGTAAATCCAAAAAAAAATTATGATTCATGCTCATATATTATTTGTGAAAAACAGTATAAATGAATTTTCGAAGATAATCATCAGAGAAAATCAACTAGAACATGTAGTAGCCTAGTGATGTAAAAAAGTTGCTTAATAATAATAAAAGGTTCATGATAACTAATGTTGATATTTCTCTTTTACTAGCAGGGTCCATCATGTCAGGCCTAACCCCAAAAAAAAAAGTTAGAGAATTGCATAAAATATGACAATAATTAAACAAAACACTAACTTCAACCACCACCAACTGTGATTATAGTTTAGGTTCGAATTTTGAGGTTATAAAAAAAAGTAACTCCAACCACCAATTGAGAGCAAAAAACCCTAACCTGTTTGTAGCAGCAATCACTATGACACCATCTCGTTGTTTGCCGCCACTCAATTCAACGAGTAACTGACAATTAGCAAGTGAGCTTTAGTTAGGATTAAGACAGGTTTCAGTACAAAGATTGAGAATGTGATTCAAAAACCTAGCTAGTCACCTGATTCAAAGGTCGTTCGACAACCCAAGCACCTTGCTCTCCACGTTTTGTTGTTAAAGCATCCACCTACAATGCTTAAAGAACATCACCAAGTATCCTATCTTCTTTTAAAAAAACTCATCAAAGAAGTATATGTGGACAAAAACTCATCAAGTACTCTTATTTTCAACACACGAACCTCATCAAAGAAGACTATGCATGGTGAGGACATCCTAGCACGACTGAATAGCTCCCTAATAGCCTTCTCGGTCTCTCCAACATATTTGCTTAGAAGGTCAGGACCCTAAACATAAACAATACCAAGTAAGAAGATCAAAGGTTTTTAGTCTTCATACGAAAACAAAACTTATCGAAAGATTTATTATTAGAGAAGCTAGAAGACTGAAAGAAAAATAGGTTCCAGGGAAACCTCAACGTGGATAAAGTTAGCTCCTGCCTCATTAGCAACCGCTTGCGCAACTAACGTCTTACCACAACCTGGTGGTCCATAGAGCAAAAAACCGGTCTCTAAACAAGATTCAACTCCCTGAAAATAATATGAGATATATCCATCATTATACCATTTCTTGGAAATTTTCTTCAATTTTTTTGCAGCTAAGGCATTCCACTAGGGTTTGCTCATGTATTCTTCTTAATTATCAAAGCACTAGGTAATCATGAGCTCAAGGAAAATCTATATGTCCTACTATGTGTTCTTGCTTATATGGTTGATGGAATACCTTGTATTCTTCAGGGAATTTTTATTGGTCTAATTACATGATAATAGAACTCCTCTTTTATATGATCAAGACCACCAACATCATCCCACGTTACATTAGGCCTAGTAGAGAATCCTTCTCTAGTTAAACAAGGTTGAACCTTTTTCAGCGCTTCCTATATAGATAATGAAACAAGAGTCAACGAACAGAACAACCATAACATGTTTAACAAAATATATCATACATGTTGAGCATAAGACTTAGCGCGCATTTGGGGGCTTAAGAGAATACTAACTCGTTTAAAGCACACTTATCTCACCTCGAAATCTAAGCTAGTACGGTAGATTTTTTTCCTCTCTTCCTCTGGCAATTGTTGCCTTGGCAAAGAATCAATATCGGTCCAAGCTTCTGTTACTCTTGAATCTATAATTCTGTTTAATGCAACCGTGCCAGCCTCCATGTCCAAATCTTCAAAATCAGATCCAACAAATCCAGAAGTCATACGAACAATCTTTGCGCTATCAAAATTTCTCTCCAATGAGAGATCGCGTGTTAGCAAAGCGAAAATCTCTTCCCTTGCTTTAGCATCAGGCACACCAATGTAGATCTCTTTGTTAAATCTCCTTCTCAAAGCTAGATCAAGAGAGTCAGGCCTGTTGGTAGCTCCAACTACAATCACATGACCATTCTTAGAACCCGATTCATCGGGGAAAACTTTGCTCTCATTCTGCTTTAGACGCATATACTTTGGATCCATACAATTCAACAACTGCGTCACCATACGCATGTCCATACCCTTTTGCTGATTCTCCCTTTTTGATCCAATGGCATCAATCTCATCGATAAATATAATCGAAGGTGCAGTTCTATATGCTTTGGAGAATAGTTCCCTTATATTCTCTTCTGATCCACCTACAAAAAGGTAGGCCAATACAACAAATTCAAACCAACCTAGAGACATCAATAGAAATGTAAACAAGGAAAAAGACAAGAGCTCGATTGTAATGACCCTATCAAGAGATCAAAACAGTTACGAGAGATGATCGAGCCAAGACCTAGTTGATGGAAGAAAAATTGTCAAGCATAACGGGATTTTAAGCACGAGGTGGCCCGAAGCACGACGTGACGAGAAGCATGAGGTGGCAAGGTGCTTTCAAACTTGATATTTTTAGAAAAATATAAAAGTTTGCGGAAGCACGACACATCTGCTCGGGATTGACGTGCTTGGAATCTGCAAGCACGACAAATCCCGTAAGCACGAGGTGTTGCGATCTTGTGTGACGAGTCATCGGAAGCACGACAAATCCACAAGCACGACAAATCCGCAAGCACGACAAATCAGAAGCACGACAAATCTCGTAAGCACGAGGTGTCGCGATCTTATGTGACGAGTCATCGGAAGCACGACAAATCCAAAAGCACGACAAATTCGCAAGCATGACAAATCCACAAGCACGATAAATTCGCAAGCACGAGATGTCGTGACCGTGTGCAACGACTCATCGGGAAGCACGACACACACTCCTAACTGTCCTACTATGCCTACCTGCTTGCTTAACCCTATAAATAGGACCAAGTAACTCTCATTTCTTACATAGAAAACGTTCCAAACCTCTGACCAAAATAGTTYGYGATCGTGATCCAATYCGCRGTCTGTTRYCGGRAACCATYCARTAGTGCCRTGAARTTTTTAGGRTAAGGCGTTCCGATCCTAACTTTTCTATCTGACTTAGTTTCGTCTTGTGATCTTGAATCCAACCCTTTGTGGTTTTGATGGTTGGAATGATCGAGATTCAAGCCAAAATTCTGTATGTTTTAAGGAAAGGGAAGATTTGTTAGATCGTGGAGTAGTCGAGGAACCTAGATCCGTTCTAAGCCTAAATCCGAGTCTAAGTCCTAATCGTTTGAATAAGGTGAGTCTTGGTGATGCTTGTCGTGTGCTAGATGAGTAGAGCACACGTTGCTTGTTTATTGTTATGTTTTATAGCCATGGAGGTTCTTGCTAAAATTTTATGAATTTGGTTAAGTATTTTCTTTGATTGTTTGCGCATGATGTTTGATTGTGTGATTGCATGCTGCATGAGTCATGGGATGTTTATGTTTGTATTTACCACTAACCTTTGTGGCTGCAGGATTTCAAGAGGAAGTAGATCCGCGTGTGATCTGTCTAGATACATGCGGGTCAAAGATAAACTTTTATGTTGTGAGTGAGGTTAGACGTTACGAGTGATCAAGAGGATCATGTAATATTCTAACAATTGTAGAGAGCGGTTGACACTTTCAGATATCGCTAGTCACGGAGGAACGGGATTGCAGCCTAGGACCATGACTACCGATTGTAATATCCGGAGAAACGGGATTGCAGCCTAGGGCCGGTGTATTACATGTCGGATCACTGGTCTTTTAGCCTTTGTGGTTAGGGTCGTGTGAGGTAAAAGGGACAATGAAAGGAAGTTGTCAATTCGCGGTTTAGGTTTGGTTACATGAGAAAGGACTTTAGTGTGGAAGGTCCTTGGTTATGTTATGTTTGATTTATCTTTTCCGCATGTG